GATGCCGGCGAGGATCAGCGAGCGCTGCTCTCGCAGCGTGGCGCGGTGCTGCGCGACGCGCTGGTTGAGCGACGCGATCTGGGGGAGGGAGGTTGCGGGGTGAGGCGGCGGCGTGGGGGAGGGCACCCCCCCCCCCCCCTCCCCTGTCCCACTATCTCCGGCCGCAAGTGGACGGGCGAAGAGCAGCAAGGCGCACTCGCTGTACTACATGGTTGCTGGCAGGCTGGTTCGCTAGCGGTGGGCAGCCCGCCTGCTCTTGCAGCTCCGACGGCGACACTGGCCGCGAGCTCGCCGGGTCGGACGGCGTCTGGTCCGACGGCGTCTCGACCTAAGAAAAGAAAAACATGCGTGAGAAGAGACTGCGCGGGTCGGACGGCGTCTGGTCCGACGGCGTGTGGACCTAAGAAACAAGGAAAAGAGACGGCCGGTCAACAGAGACTACGCGGGTCGGACGGCGTCTGGTCCGACGGCGTGTGGACCGGCGATCGGTCAGACGGCGCGCGGTGCGTGGAGCACCTGATGAATGAATAGTCGGGCCTGATTAACTATGAATTAACTATGAATTAGGCGCGCGGTGCGTGGAGCACATCGTCGAGCAAGACGAGACGCCGGCCTGTGGTGCACGCGCGCACGGCGGTGAGAGGACGTTGCTCACAGCACGCGGCAGGGGAGGGGGGGGGGGGCACTGTTTCGGCAGGCGCGGCCGCGGGGAGGCGAGAGCTCGGCGCGCGGGTCGGAAGGAAGCGGAGCTGTTTGAGTGAGCTTGTGAGTCCACATCGCTAGCAGCACACAGTCTAGAGAGCTCCCCCGCGGGAAGACGCGGGGGACTCCGACTCCTGCTGCTGTCAAACAGACGGGATCATCCCTCGTGGGCTGGGAGAGTGATTGGGAGGGGAGCGCAAGGGCGAGCACACGCGCGTTGGACTCCGAGTCGATGTTGGAGAGGCCGTCCTGGTCGGACCCCGTCCCGGAGCCGGTGCCTATCCGCAGCGTCGCTGCCGTCCCCACCCCCCACTCCCGCCTTCTCTGGTCGGCCTCTCCGCCAAAGGCCGGCGCCGCTGTTTGCGTTTGACGAGCCTCCGCTGCCGCTGCCGCCGCCGGCAGAGCCGCCAGAGCCGCTCGACCCGTTGGCTGTCTGCCCTCACTGCAGCCCTCCCGCGCGGCGGCTGCTACAAC